TAATAATAAAATAAATTACAGTTGTTAGCTGTCTCACTAATTCATATTGGCATCCTGTGCTTTTTGAAGACTTCTGATATGTTCTTGCCAAGTAGTGTAGGACTGTAGTCCAGTAGAAATGGTAGTAAACCCAAATTGAAAGTAATTCTTCAGACTTAAGTAAGCAGTACTCTGCAGGGATGTCAGTTTTGGACAACGGAGAACAGTCACAATTTGTTAGACACTAAGGAGGTCTTAAGATCTCGGTTCAAAAAGTTAGTTTTTATAGATATTACCATAGTTTTGTGGGAAGTCTTTGCTGTTGTAAATCTACAATTTTTTTTAGAATTATATTTAAAAACTAAGGAAAACACTTTAATGGCATTGCTGAAATACATTGCGAAGAAGTACAGTGACTGCCTACCATTCTTCAGTGCCTTTTATGTGCCAGTCAAAATGTTAGGTGCCTTAGCAACTTTACTTGTCCTCAAGGTGACCTTGCTTGGTAGCTACTGTTCCCATTTTTCAGGTCAGGAAGCTGAGGTTAACGGTTACTAAGTAACAGCCCAAGTGTAATAGTGAAACCACACTCTACAACATTGCATCAGAGCTGGCTTGTTGTTGACCTGATTGTGGGTAGGGATTCATTTTGAACTGGGTACCTGAAAAATCCAAGAGATTTTTAAACATTTGGGCCTGAATGCTGTGTCCAGTCCAGTTCCTAAGAGGTAGATCAGGGTTACATCAGAATTATGTATTGCAAAGAGGGTTGAGTTGGGCTTTCACAGAGATGTGTTGAACCTAGTGGTAGTCTTTGATTGAATGTGGTCTTTAGAGATAGAAAAATGGGACATTTTTCTTTGAAAGAAAGTAGAATATCTTTAAAGCTTGTGTAGTGAACGCTTGATTATTTATACAGAATCCGATGCCAGCTCAGAAAGGACACTACATAGGTTAGCCCTTTAAAGCTGACTTCTTGAGAGAGTCAGCTGGGGTCAAGAGCCCTACAGCTACAGTAGTTAGTTACATGGTGAGATCAGAACTTCATTTTATTTTGTGATTTTTTTTTTTTTCTTCCAAACTATAAATGAGAATAAAAATGTGGTATAGCCACTTAGAAGTATGCTCCTTTAGTCCAGTGCTAACTACAGAATAGCCATAGTTACTGTTTACTCTGGTGTTTTGAATTTCATTGTCCTGATCCTATTGGGCCATGCAGTTTAATGATGCCCCTTTTTCCTAGGACTCCCTCACCTCCCCCTCGACGGCGCTCACCTTCCCCGAGAAGATACTCTCCTCCCATACAGAGGAGATACTCTCCTTCTCCACCTCCAAAGAGAAGGACGGCTTCGCCCCCACCCCCTCCCAAGAGAAGGGCATCGCCATCCCCACCACCAAAGCGCCGGATCTCCCCCTCTCCGCCTCCCAAACAGAGAAGCTCCCCAGCCGCCAAGAGACGCTCACCTTCTGTCTCATCAAAGCCTAGGAAAGGGTCTTCCCCAAGCCGTGCTCCCAGGGAGACCCGGTCACCACAACCAAACAAACGGCATTCTCCCTCACCACGGCCTCGAGCTCCTCAGACCTCAAGTCCTCCACCGGCTCGAAGAGGAACGTCAGCCTCACCCCAAAGAAGGCAGTCCCCATCTCCGAGTACCAGGCCCATTAGAAGAGTCTCCAGAACTCCAGAACTTAAAAAGACAAAAAAGTAAAACTATTTTATGGTTTTTTTTTATTAGGAATACTTAGCTGCATGTCTCTTTGTGAGGAAACTTCTCTTTATTGAGAGCTTACAGGGAAAAATAAGCTAATTATATGAACTGTTAAAGAACATTTTTTATATTTCCTGTTTTGATGATAGTTTTGTAAGGTGTAAATTAAATGCCACAAAATAATATTTGGTTCTTAGTAGTACTAGGTTTTTTTTTGTTTGTTTGTGGTTTTTTTGTTTTTGGTTTTGGAGACAGGGTCTTACCATGTAGTCCAAGCTGTTCTTGAACTCATGGTGATTCTCCTGCCTCAGCTTCCTGAGTGCTGGGGTTATAGGCAAGTACCACCATATCTTGCAATATCAGGTTTTTGGAGAGGTGTTCTTCCAAAAGTAAACTGGTATGCTGTGTGCAGGTTGTGTGTGTGTGATTTAGATAAAACCAGTCTTAAGTAAAATGTGAAGAATTGGTTTGCTAATTTCATACAGATAAGAGGAGCAGAATTGGGTACATGATTGTAGGGCTCAGTACTTACATGATGTGAATTTGATAAGTGAGCCCGGCTTAATGGCAGCAGCTATAATCCTAGCGCTCTGGGAGGTGGAGGCAATAGGACTGCAACTTCAAGCCCAGTCTAGGCCATTTAGCAACTTACTGAGACACTGTCTCGAAATATGTACCTCAGTAAAAGTTAGTAGAAAGAACTGGCAAATGAAGTGCTGTAAAATGTTCACAGTTAGAGACTTGCTTGTACAGTGTATTATAGTTGGTCATTTTCTTGGAGAGTGGAAGTCTCAGCACTGTCACTTTTTTCCTCTCTGCATACAGGGCTGCCTCACCGAGCCCGCAGTCTGTAAGACGGGCTCCATCCTCTCCGTCTGTCTCTGGATCTCCCGAGCCAGTGGCTAAGAAGCCCCCAGCGCCCCCATCCCCTGTCCAGCCTCAGTCGCCCTCCACGAACTGGTCCCCCGCTGTGCCAGCCAGGAAGGCTAAGAGCCCCACACCAAGCCCATCACCAGCCCGGGTGCGTATCTGCCTCACCTGGGGCAACCTGTGAAGATCTGTATATGCTTATTTTGAAGCAGAGAAAGTGCTACTAGAATATTAAAACACTGTGGGTTAGTGCTTTGCTCATGTGAGTTATAAAACTGGGCTTGAACAGTTTCAATATTAAGTAGTCGGTGATTAGTTGACTAAATTGTACATGCTAACTGAATGGATTATGAAGAATTTTAAGGAATTACTTAGAAATGTGAAGTTTAAAAGTTACTAGTGCTGGGAGTGAAGTGAAGCTCAGTGTCCTGGGTTCTAGCCCTAGCACTAAAAAACTAACAGTTACAAGGCCAGCCAAATAGCTCAGTGGATTAAAGCACCTGCAAGCAGGCACAGGGTGGGGCGGTTCCATCCCCACCCCGCCCTGCCGGCCCCACCCCCAGTTAGTGCTGAGAAGGCCATTGAGACTGGGCTTGGTGGCACACCTGTAATCCCAGCTCTTAGGAGGCTGTAAACAGGTGGATCACTACAGTCCAATCTAGTGGTGAGACCCTGAATACGCTATAGACCCTTCCCTAAAATACAAAAAAAAATTAAAAAATAAAAACAAAATTAAATTAACAGTTACACAAAAGTATTTGGGGAAATTTGGTGTACAGTTCCTGGCCTAGCATGCTTCAGTTTAGGGTTTGTTTTGTTTTTGGTGGGTTTTGGTGGTTACAGGGGATTGAACTCGGGACCCTGCGCTTGCCAGGCAAGTGCTTGTTCTACTGAGCTATCTTCCCCAGGCCCCAGTTTAGAGTTTTGAATATGATCAGAACTACTGTTCTGTTTTTCACAGAGTACAAGATTTGATAAATTACATCGTAAAATAAGCTCTGCGTTAGGTGATTTTGCCCTTTTATAGATATTGTTAGTGATCTATGTTTAAGATAGGCTAAGCCATAATGCCTGTTTAATACAAGTTATGTTGAATGCATATTCAAGTTGGTATTTCAGTACACAGTAGGAGTACAAGATTTATTTAGATGCAAGCCCATCAAAAGTTCAGACAAGTAGCATAAGATCTTGCCTGGCAAGCACAAGGGCCTGAGTTAAAGCCCCAGTTCCTCAAAAAAAAAAAAGAGAGAGAGACCAATCTCTGTATGTGCAGCAAAGGTAAAGAAACCGACCTATGTAAAGACAGGCAAGGTCAGGTGGTGACTCTGCATTCCTCCAGGCATGTGCTTAGACTCATAGGTACACAGTCAGAGCCTTTTGATTGATGGATGAGTGTAATCAATAATTGATGCATTGAAGAGATGGCTCAGTGGAATAAGTGCTTCTCTGGCAAGTGCAAGGGCCCGAGTTCAAGTCCCGGTTTCGCCAAAAAAAAAAAAAAATTTGATGTGTTGTTTCCCTCTAATTTTCAGTGAAATCAGCTCATCTGGAGCCAGCCCTGGATTCTAACCCTGCAGACCTGGCTGCCATAAAGTGGGGGAATCTGTTTTAATGCAAATTTAGTTGGTGTTAATTGTAGGAGGCAGTTATCTTCAAGCCATCTATTGTTCTTGGGATACTGCATATGGAGTATGCCTTAGCTTGCTTCCTGTCTAGGAATAGTTTTCTTGGTGGCAGCTGGTCTTGTACCTTTTTCCTATCCTGAAGCCTCTGGAATTCAGAGATTAGTCCATTTCTGTATTGCCTTCAGGAATTAAAATACTTTTGTTTTAAATAATTCTGATCAGATTGATTATATTACCATTTTATCTGGATTTCTAGAATTCTGATCAGGAAGGAGGTGGGAAGAAAAAGAAGAAAAAGAAGGACAAGAAACACAAAAAGGATAAGAAACACAAGAAGCACAAAAAACATAAGAAGGAAAAGGCTGTGGCTGCAACCGCTGCGGCTCCTGCCACTCCTGCGGCTGTTGCTGCTGCCACAACCACATCAGCGCAGGAAGAACCTGAGGCAGCCCCCGAACCCAAGAAGGTACCTACAGACCACATTCTGCCTGGCAGTCTGTGCAGACTGAGAAGTTGCTAAGCCAGCAGCGTTCCTAGTACTTGGCTCCCTTGCGGTGCCCTTCATTCTGATCTGTGTCTCAGGGACTGCCAAGAGCAAGGGTTTTCTGGGACCAAGGATAAGAACAAAAGGGCTGCCATAAAGCTAATGTAGTTCAGTTTGTTTTCTAATTATTCTGATGCTGGGGATCAGACCTACAACCTTGTACTACTTTGAAATTCTGCCAGCTAGAGCAAAGTTATTGGGTTCTAGTGTTTTCGGGGGTGCAGCCATCACCGCACTGGTCTGCTCTTGACTCCGTTTCTCCCACTGGCATCTTAGGCCCCGCCACTAATGAGCATCCTGCCTTCTTGTGGCTTTTTTCAGGAGACTGAGAGTGAAGCTGAAGACAACCTGGACGACTTAGAGAAGCACCTGCGGGAAAAGGCTCTGCGATCCATGCGGAAGGCTCAAGTGTCCCCACAGTCCTAGGGGGGAATGTTGGTTAGGATGTAAATTTTATTTGGTTTGTATTCAATTCAATTTCAAAATTGCTAAAATGTGTTTGAGCTTTAGA